GATGAGCTTATATTTTTAAAAATATCATAAGTGGAAAAAATGCAGAGTCATTTCTTAATTATTGACATTTTTAAAGATATAAGCTCATTCTGATGTTACCCTCATTGAGACCTTTCATTTGAGTACCCACATGCATTTTTATATATATTTATATATATGATATATATAAAAATATAAAATATATGAAAAATCGATGTAGGTACTCAAATGAAAGGTTTTAATGAGCGTAATGTCAAGATGAGCTTATATCTTAAAAAATGTCAATAATTGACGAAATACAAGATCATTTCTTGATTATTGACATTTTTGAAGATATAAGCTCATTCTGATGTTGCACTCATCGAGACCTTTCATTTGAGTACCCACATGCATTTTCATATATATATATATAAAATATATGAAAAATTGAAGTAGGTACTCAAATGAAAGGTCTTGATAAGTATGACGTCAGGATAAGCTTATATCTTCAAAAATGTCAATAGTTGAGAAGATACAATGTCATTCCTTAATTATTGACATTTTTTAAGACATAAACCAATCTTGATGTTACACTCATCAAGACCTTTTATTTGAGTACTCACATGCATTTTTATATATATTTTATATATATGATATTTATGAAATATATAAATATATAAAATATATGAAAAATTGATGTGAGTACTCAAATGAAAGGTCTCAATGAGTGTAATGTCGGAATGAGCTTATATCTTTAAAAATGTCAATAGTTTACAAGATAAAAGGTCATTTCTTAATTATGTATGAAAAATTTAATTAATAAAAAGTTTTGATCATAAGCATGACCGAATTATTGCAGACTAAAAACTTCCTGTAATATTAATATAAAAATAATGATTATTTTTTATTATCATAAATATTATAACAACTGACATGATAGATAATTGAGGTGTTAACATGTTAAATATAATCAACAGATCGGAAACGAGACACTCGAGTGGTAATACCAACCGGATGGCCGGAAATAGGGGGAAACCTTTACATAGAAGAGACTGCCGGAGAATCATCATCATTATCGCCAGCATCGCCGATAAATAAATCCAAACAATTGAAACAAATTCAGCGCAACATTCAGAATATTATTGCTCAGAAATCACAATTTAATTGTTAATAATTAATATAATTAAAATATATTATCGCGTTATTAAAAGCATTCGTCAAAAAAAAAAATATTTAAAAATTTATATTTTTATTTTTTATTATTAATTTTTGAATTTCGATAAACATTAATTTATTTAATTTTTTTATAATTATTTTTTCACAATAAATTTTTATATCAAAAATCAAGAATTTATTTATTTATTAAAAAAAATATATATTTATAATTTTAACACAAATAATAAATAAATAATAATCCATTTGTTTAAATAAATTAACTCATATTTATTTAATTATTTATTATTATTATTAATTTCTTTTAAATGTATTTGTACCCATTACACCGTAATAACATCAACAATATATATCTATATATATATATGTATTTATATATAGATTATTTTCAAATATAATTAATTATTATTTAAACCTTTGTTTACAATAATTATACTTATAAATAATATTTTTATTTTAATATTCATTTCAATTCGGGTGGTATCGATTAAGTGGGCAGGATATCTAAGGCTTTTTTTTCTTAACTAAGATCTTAATTTGAAGGAATCCCCTAGCTGGTTAGTTCATTAATTTTGCCATTGTTTTTTTTTTAAATTCAAATTTGACTGATTATAAGAGGCAAGGTTATTAATTTTAAGTGTCAAAACTAAAAAAAAATTTTTTTTTTGTTGGAAAAATGGTCAGTTGTGATCAGTGATCATATATTGTCATATCTGATCACTGATCACATATGGTCATATGTGATCAATGACCCTATATGATCATATCTGATCAATGATCATATATGGTCATATGTGATTATATGTGACCAATTATAATTTGTGATCAATGATTATAAATGATCATATGTGATCAATGATCATATATAGTCAATTATCATTTGTGATCATATATGGTCATGTGATCAATGATCATTTGTGGTCATATATGGTCATATATAACCAATGATCATATATGATCAGTTGTGACCAAGTATAATTTATGATCAATGATCATATATAATCACCGATCATACATGACCAATGATCATATATGATCACCGATCATGTATGGTCTTATATGACCAATGATCATATATGGTTATACGTGATTAATGATCATATGTGGTCATAAATGTACATATCTGATCAGGGATCATATATGGTCATAAATGACCATATCTGATCAATCATTATATATGGACCAATGATAATATATGGTCATATGTGATCAATGATCATATATGATCATATTTAACTAATGATTATGTATGATCACCGATCATATATGGTCATATATGTCCAATGATCATAAATAGTTATAAGTAACCAATGATCATTCATGGTTATATGTGACCAATGAGCATTTATGGTCATAAATGACCATATAGATCAATGATCATATATGGTCATAAATTATCATATCTGATCAACAATCATATATTGTCATAAATGACCATATCTGATCAATGATCATATATGAGCAATGATTATATATGGACCAATGATAATATATGGTCATATGTGATCAATGATCATATTTAACTAATGATTATGTATGATCACCGATCATATATGGTCATATATGACCAATGATCATATATAACCTATGATTATATATGATCACCGATCATATATGGTCATATATGTCCAATGATCATATATAGTTATAAGTAACCAATGATCATTCATGGTTATATGTGACCAATGAGCATTTATGGTCATAAATGACCATATAGATCAATGATCATATATGGCCATAAATTACCATATCTGATCAGCAATCATATATGGTCATAAATGACCATATCTGATCAATGATCATAGGGTCATTTATGACCATTTCTGATCAATGATCATATGTGATCATATATGACCAATGATCATTAATAAAAAATTAAAAAATTTTCATATTCTTATCAATCCAATTGGATATTTTTCTAAAATTCAACATTAACCTCTTTAAAATTCTATGACCCAAATTTTTTATAACCAAACTAGTAGAGATCCCTCAAATCTAATAAATGCGTATTCATCATATCTTCAAGCTAATTTCTAATACGATGATTGTCGAAGAAAAATTACATTCTGAAACATTTAATTCCACTAAATCTAATTTTTTTGTGTATATAATTGTGCAATAAGACATAAACAATTTATAGCTTTTCTGTACTTGACTTGTGTATCTACAAAATTTTAATTAGAAGAATAGGGAGTGTTATATAATATAATTTAGTTAAGTTGCTAATCAGGCACTTTAGTAATATAATTATTATTTAATTAGCAATCCCTTTTTATTTTCATTTTATTTATTGTTATTAACACAAATATGATGAATACCATTGTTATAATTACAGGTTTTAAGGCATTTTTTTAGTGATTTAACATCTATTTTAATAGGAGTTCTTTACATTTAAAATATAGTGCCGACAATTTTTAAATTATTTATAATCTAGGATAATTAATACATCAAATATATATATATATATATATATATTTTTTTTTATTACGTACAATTGAAATTACGTCAAATTGGTCAAAAAAATTTTTTTTTGATGTATTAATTTTTTTTTTTACAATATTTTTATAAGCGTCCAAAAAAATTGTCGACATTTTTTCGGATTCTCTTTACAAAAATTAATAAATAAAAATAATATTAACAATTACTAACATTAAGCGCTTAACAACTTACAATAATAATAATTACAATTAACTAAATATATTTTTATAAAGAAAATCTCATAAACTTTTTTATTCCGGAATGTTATCTTAGACAATAAATAAATAATTAATCATTAAAATAAAATATCTAAAACTATTTAATAATAAATTAATTAAAAATAAAAACATTGAATAAAATTTATTTTTTCTTCCTTTCTTCTTTTTATAACTCTCTAATTTCTCTTCTTCATTTATGAATTATTCACAGCTAATTATACGTACTTAACAATATAATTGTAGATTGTAAATAATTATTATTTTTTTTTAAATAATTAATCATTTAAATAAACAATACTCTTATTAATTTCTTTGTATCGATTTTTCTTAATTTGTACAAGTATATTTATATATAAAATATTTAATTAATAATTAATAAAATAGTGATTATCATGAATTATTAATTATTAATTATATTCGTATAAGTATTATTTTTATTTATTGTTAATTATTTATTAACAGTTAATATATTTTCTTTGTTCATCTAACAGGCAATTGTGAAATTTATTTTTTTTTCATTTTTTATTTAAGAAATTTATTTTTTTATCCCTGGGATTTTTATTTACTCAAGTAATTAATTAATAAATTAATTCTATTTTTTTCTAATATATTTGACTCACTTCAAATTTGTTTTGTTAATTATACAGAAGGTTGGTGAAAAAAAAAATTTTTTTAATTAATTTTTTCAACTTTTTAGAATTCTTTCTTTGACATGAAATTTTTTTTTCTTTTTTTGGTTTACAAAAATATCAATTTTTATCTTTTTTCAATTTTTTTAGTAAGTATATTTTTTAAATGGAAAAAATATCACTAAATGTAATCAATGATCACATATGGTCATATCAGATTAATGATCATATATGATTATTTTTGAAGAATGATCATATATGATCGTTTGTGACCAATGACCATATATGATCATTTGTGACCAATGATCATATATGATCATTTGTGACCAATGATCATATATGATCGTTTGTGACCAATGATCACATATGATAATTTGTGACCAATGATCACATATGGTCATATCAGATCAATGACCATATATGATCATTTGTGACCAATGATCATATATGATCATTTGTGACCAATAATCACATATAGTCATTTGTGACTAATGAGCATATATGATCATTTGTGACCAATGATCACATATGGTCATATCAGATCAATGATCATTTGTGATCAATGATCATATATGGTCATATGAGATCAATGATCACATATGATTATTGGTTATATATGATCATTGATCATATATAATAATTTGTGACCAATAATCACATATGATCATTTATGACCAATGATCATTGATCATATGATCATTTATGACCAATGATCATATATGATCATTGATCATATGATCATTTATGACCAATGATCATTGATCATATGATCATTTATGACCAATGATCATATATGATCATTGATCATATGATCATTTGTGACCAATGATCACATTTGATCATTTGTGACCAATTATCATAAATGATCATATATAATCAATGATCATATATGACCAAGGATCAATGTCATCATTTGTGACCAATTACACGTGATCAATGACCTTTTGTGATAATTAATTATTACTAACCAGATATGTACAAAATATTTTTTTTCCAAAATAAAATTAATTCTCAATTAATAACCTCTAAAGTAGTATAATTTAATAACACGTGCACGCTTGTCACTATAACATTAAACTATCATTACTCCAATGTGCACTAATAACATTTTTAGAATTTTTAATTTTTTAATTTTAACATTATGTTAATATATATATTTTAATTTTCAAATTTTTTAAAATAAATATTACCCTGGTTTAATAATTATCTTTATACTACCTATATTATTAATTAACCTATTATTATAATTCATAAGAAGAAAATTAAAATTACAAGGCATGCGCAAACATCCGCCATCTTGTTAAGCAAGAGACGCCATTTTAATGTGTACAAAGTTACTGTTGTAATAATTATTTTTAATAAATAAATTTTAATTATATTTAACAAAACAAAAATTTTTTTTGGATCATCTAACAATTTATCACATTAAAAATTGAAAAAAAAAAAGTTAACTTCTGTATAATTAAAAAAAAATTTTATGGATTAGTATGAAGTTTAATTTAATATTAATAACAAAAATTTAATAAACTATCAAATAAAAAATTTTTTAAATCTAATTATAATATTATATAGTATTAAAAATGAAGTAATGATGAATATATTAAATAAAACTATAAAAAGCTCTATGGACGGAGAATAATTAGCTCAGTGACATCACAACAAATGGACATAATGTGAATGATTTAATTGGCATTATTTTAAATTCTAATAATTTCTAATATATATTTTTTTTTATTTATATTTATAATTTATATATTTTTCAATTTATTTATTGAAATTTTTTCAAAAATATTTATATTTTTATTAACTCTTAAGTCATCATTGGTTATGTATAATTATATTAGAATTGTGCAGCGCTGCCTGTTGAAAAATTTTCCAAGTTTTATAATAAAAAAGTTTTAAAATTAAATCAATATTAATAATTTTAATTAATAAAATAAAAATTATTATTATTATTTAAATGAATTCAATTTTAAATTAAGCTTTTCTTCCCTTTTTTTAAAGAAGAAATTGCAAACTAAAAGTTAAAAAATTGACCAACAGAGAGCGCATATCTCGGTGGTAATGCACAATTTTAATTATATTAAGATGTCAGTATTAGAATTATTTTTTTACTCAATTTTTATGATAGTTTAATGATCATATGACCATATGATCATATGATCAATGATCATATGTGATTATTTGTTATTAATGACCATCGATGGTCAATTTTAGTCAAAGATCATTGGTGACTAATGATCATATATGGTCATATGTGATCATTTGTGACCAATGATCATGTATAGTCATATTTGATCAATGATAATAGATGGTCATATATGATCAATGATCCTGTATAGCCATATATGATCATTGATCAGATATGGTCATATATAACCAATGACCACGTATGGTCATATGTGACCCAGGGTCATAAATGATCATTGATAATTTATCATATATGGTCATAAATGACCAATATGGTCATAACTGACCAATTATCATATATGGTCATAACTGACCAATTATCGTATATGGTCATAACTGACCAATTATCATATATGGTCATAACTGACCAATTATCATATATGGTCATAAATGACCAATGATCATGTGAATTTTATATTTTTCAAGAAATTAATGACTTAAAAAAATCCCATTTTTGCATTAGAAAAATTTTTTCTAAAAATTCATTTTTTTTCTATAAATAACTAGAATTTAAATTATAAAAAGAACAAAAAAAATATACTAAAAATTGAGTAAAAAAAATTCATTACTGACTTATTATTGACCCGATAATTACAAATAACAATTAAACAACTAAGAAGGCACAATTAGTTACTGATGACTTTTACTTAATAAATGCGAATTAAATTGATAAAGATTACAGCATTGTTCACCGCAAATATTACACTTCCAGGGGTTGCTGTCACTGTGGCAGCCTTTGTGTAAAAAATACAAGGTCTGATCGGGAAAGGTAATCCGACAGTAAGTGCATTGGAGGCCACTTGAACGAGGATCCGGCCTCGTTGAACTCGGTGGCTCCCGCAGATGCGATAAATTATTTATGTTACTTATACTCAATATATTCTCACTTGTATTAACGCTACTGCTGCTGCTATTATTATTATTATTATTATTATTATTATTATTACTATTATTATTATTATTGTTGTTGTTATTGTTGGTGCTGTTGGTGGCGTTGGTAATAAGATTGTTAGAAGTGTTTGATAACTTACGTCTCAAATCGTCCCTCAGCAATGACTTTAACGGAGATACTTTTATCAATGAGGGAAGTGAAAGATTGCTGGAGGTTGCTCCACTTTCATCCATCCCGTTGCTATTTGGTTCTTGTTTTATTGGGATCAGAGAAATTGAGGGTGTGATTGAGTCCTCTACCATGCTCCTGTTTTAATTAAAATTTAATTAATTTATAACTAGCAATCTTGCAGTCACTATGTGACTGCTGTGACTTGTGAAATGGACATAAATAAAATTTTTTTTTATTAAATAATGAATTTTGTTAAATTGCACTGTACTTTCTTAAATATTGACATTTTTAAAGATATAAGCTCATCTTAATGTTACACTCATCAAGAGCTTTCATTTGAGTACCCACATGCATTTTTTATATATTTTTCATATATACATATATATAATATATATTTTAAAGATATAAGCTCATCCCGATGTTACACTTATTAAGAGCTTTCATTTGAGCACCCACATGTATTTTTGATATATTTTTCATATATACATATATATAAAATATATAAATATATAAAATATATAAAAAATTGATGTGGGTACTCAAATGAAAGGTCTCGATGAGCGTAACATAAAAATGAGCTTATATTTTTAAAAATGTCAAGAGTACACAAGATACAAGGTAATTTCTTAATTATTGACATTTTTTAAGATATAAACTCA